CCAGGGCTGTGTGTCTGTCTGCTCCAGCCGCACCTCTCTGGGAAACCGAGGTAGAAAGCAAGGGGGGCTGACAAGATCCGCGTGCCTCCACAGGCTGTGAGTGTGTGGGTGAGTGACCATAAGCCGAACCTGGGAGCAGCGTGTGTAACACTATGAGAAGGTGCACAAGAACTCTCCTCCCTGGCTTATGTGCTCACCTCTTCGGGTTCACCTGTTTCAGTGATGCTGGGATCCTGGATGGGTCTATATGACACTATTTGGATCATCTCGTCCTTGCTTGTAGCCACAGGATGGTCCGAATCAGGGGAGCAAAAGAGGCATTTCTGAAGGAAGAGTTCACAGAGATACCCGGATGAGTTGTAGGACCCCATTAGAGGCTACTGGTGCCTCGGCAGGACCATTTCTATACAGGGGCATCTGTAGCAAGCTGAGATTTCATCACAATAACAACATGTGTTATGACCTCATGACACAAGCTCCCCACTACTGCAGGCCCCCAGATCGCTGTGCCTCCAAAGCAGAGGTAGGCACTGATGGATGGCCTTCTACGAGGCCATCCAGGTGTGATTTCCTGTAGCTCATGAGGTGGGATTTGCTCTCTCAGGCCAATCTCACAGCAAAGCTAGTGAGCAGAGCTGTCCCAACAGCTTTCACGTGGGACAAATCAAGAGCAGCAACTGGGGCTGCGGTTCCTTCTTGGCAGCGTTTCCACTTCCGTCGGCCAGGCCTGCAGGGACCCATCACCCGTGTTCTCCCTAGCACTGGGCCGAAGCACAACTGGCCAACAGGAGTGCTCTTCCTTCACCAGAAACTGTTGTGGCCAGGTTGTCAATTTAACCATCATACGGAAACCAAGCAAATGCCGCCTTGTGCCGCCTTGTCCAGGCGCCCTGCTGTCCACCTGCCTAGCAGCCTCGATGCTGCTTCTCCCTTTTTTGGGGCAGCACTGGGTCACAGGTGGCCACATGCTAATAAGGGACTGCACAAGCCTGATGTGCACCTCCAAAAGCACCAACCAGGTGTTACAAGTCTGGCTAAAGCAACTCCATGGTGATCTTTCCTGAACTTTGGGAGACAGCAAGCAGTGGGGCAACAGCAATAACTAAACTAGCAAGCATGTGAAGAGCAAACAACTTTATCTCCACATGAGAATGAGAGGATGGGGTCAGCCGCTGGGCACGGGCACGTGCATGGAACTGGGAAGCAGTTCATCAGATCAGAGAGGGGCCAGAGCAACCAGAAATAAGAGCAGTTATGTACTAAATCACATTTGACTCAGCAGCCTAGCAAGTCAACGAAAGCCGGAGGTGACATGGGAAGGGATATGTGATGGATGCTGCTGGCAAAGAACAAGAGAAGAAGCTGTGCAGGTCTCTACCGGGGGACTGCACTGTTCGGACTCCCTACCTGTGCTGCATCGCTATCTTCTCCAGGAACCCAAGTTGAGCTCAGCCAACTCAACCAGGGGCCAGTATGTAAACTGGAATGAGGGAATGTGTCTCTGAAGACATTTTTTTTACAAACTTTGAAACCAATAAAGGTTTATTGTTACTCAATCTTCGTGCTCAGTGTTGCTCACTGCATAAGATCAGCTACCTTTCTTGAGACTAGCAGTCACAAGCCATTAATCTGATTGCGTGAGAAAGCGAGGGCCATCTCCTTGAATCCAAGTTCCCATGCGCTACCAGGCTTCACAAGAACGGCGGCAGGCGCCGTGTCAGTGCAGCATCATGAACCCAAATGGCTGTGGAGGGCAGGACCCAGTAGCCAGAAAGGAGGGGACACACGCTGCGGCCAAAAGCAGCCATTAGAAGCTGGGCAAGTCCCAGTCTCTGGCCACATTGCCACCATGGTTACGACCAAAGTGCCAGAAATTGTGCATAAGCAGAGACTGTGTCAGCAGACGAGGGAAGCTCCACTTCCACCAGATCAGTTATGAAGTCAGGCAGCCGCAGGCATGAGAAGGCGGCTGCAGCACCTGCCCTTTAGATCGGTGGGGCTTCTTCCCACCACCGCTGGGTGGAGTGTGGGTGAGCCCTATATTCTGCACACGCACACTTCACAGAAAAGAGGGGCGCTAGGTATGCAGCGTTTCATTGCCTCCATCCTGCAGCTGAGATGCCCCAGCAGTGAACCTCAGAGTCCCGTCTCGGTCTCTCCAACATCCGCAGAGCATCACCCGCTCAGTGTTCCATTCATTGATTCACCCTTTCCAGATGTTTTGCTCAACAACAGGGGCCAATTTCTAAAATGCTTCTATTTTTTTCAACCACTCTGGGCTGCAAAAGATGCCGCTCTGTGGGCAGGATTTTGTTTTTTACTTGATTTCATTTAAATAAGTCTGTGTGAGGCTTAATGTACCTAGTTTGTTTGACTGAAAATAGGCAAAAATTCACGTTCGCCATTTGATATGTTGTTGACATATTTTGGTAATGTAATCTTGGAGATCCCATGGGGCTGCAGAACCAGGCCTGGGATCACACGCAACCTATGAAGTGCAATTCCCAGAATTCCCCCCTAACACCAAGGTGGGAGAAGGTGATCTGTCAAGCTGATCTTAAGATCACCCAGTAACAAGAACTAGAAAAACGCCAGAGTAGAGAGGAAAGGTATTTTAAACTACAAACCTGCACATATTTTGAGAGTCTGTTCTTCTTCCTTGATTTTCTGGTCACTGACAATTCAGGCTGGTCTTCAAAAGGCTCACGATAGTTCCAGAAGTATTCATGTAACCGGTAGGTCCATTGCCCCAGCGATCGTACGTGCAGCCAGATCGTCTCTTTGAAGAGAAGGATATTATCCTTGAATGAAGGCTTCCTGATTGATCTGAGTTAGTAGACTGAAGCACAGCTATCTCAAAGAAAGAAGCAGATTAGTACGAACTGGAACCCATTTTCTGGATGGGACAAGATTTGGGTAGGGTATAGAGAATAAATCAGGGAAGGGATTAATTCAGACCCTTGAGCTTTCCCTTCTTTGAGATCCCTGGACTCAGATGACTGGGGTTCATTGGGGTTCAACGTGTCAAACGTGATAGTGCTGCCTTGAGGCGTGTGTCTGGGGGTTCAACGGATCCAGTCTTGAATCCCAAGCTCAGGCAGCAGCAACAGCCCAGCCCTGTTTGCCTGAGGCTGGTACCATGTTATCTGTGTCCATTTCTGGGCAGGGCAGATCTGACCAGATGGAGGCGTGCGTCAGTTATATCAGATCTGGATGACTGCAATGCGCTCTAATAGTCAGAGATGACAGTGGGTCCAGGCTGCTGCTGCTGGTTTGAACAGCAGCTGCACTGGGTTCCAATTTGTTTTGGGATACAATTTAAAGAAATTTAAAGAATCACAGCAAGTGGCCACGATTACCTAATCTTGGGTGATTTTGAGAAGCTCAGTGAGGTCAGACCTGGTTCATAACTGGCTGGGAGACCACCTAGAATTCCCAGGGCTGTATTTTAGACTAGGAAGTTGAAAAAACACTATGGAAGAAGGCAGTGGTGAATTACTGCCAAGACAACTGCATGGAGATACCCACCAGGACAAGCTCAACTCAGGAGCCCCTTTACCTCTGCGGTTAGAAGTGCTGGCAATGGCCTTTAAAGCCCTGAATAGCTCAGGACCCTTTCAAGGACCACCTCCTTCTGCACAAGCCCATTGAGGTTATCTTCAGAGTCCTTTGCATATCCCAAAACCCAGAGGAACTCAGGAGAGGAAACTGTCACTGCCTGTGGAACTCCCTGCTAAGGAGGTTTGCCTCATTTCTTCCCCTGCAGCCTCTCTGGAGATGGGCGAACCCCCTTCTTTTAAGGAGACCTTTCAGTGCAGAATCTTCTTGTGCTTTATTTGTAGCTGTTTTTATTTTTTATTTTTTTTATTGCTGCTGTTTTGAGTTGCACATCCTTTGCTTCACGAATGGCAGTGCTTATCTGATTTAAGGTTGCACCCAGTCTTTTCTCAAAGTAATAAATTCAGCCCGAGTTTCATACACACAAGGCAGACTCGTGCCGCTGCCTTCAGAGGAGCGGCAAACAATGAAGAGCATCTGAAGACAAAACTGGGTCAACTCCAAGAAAAGCTCTCTGTAGCTAGCAGTTCTAAGGTGGGAATCCCCAGAGACTTTCGCATACTGGCATTGTTCCAGGACCTTGTGGAGCACAGATTGCTTCCTAAACACCAAGCATAGCTGGCCCTGATCAGGTCTGGCTTCCTCAGCAGTTTACTCCTGAGTAGCCCCAATTCCTTAGTCACCTCCCAACTCTACACAGGGTTGCCCCTGAAGACCATCCGGAAACTTCAGTTGATCCAGAATGCAGCAGCGTGGGTAGTTATGGGCACATCTCGTTATGCCCATGTAACACCACTACTCCATGAGCTGCACTGGCTCCCAGCAGACTTACAGGTGCGATTCAAGGTGCTGGTTATCCCCGTATGGCATAGGGCCACTTTGTCCCAAGAACGTCTGCCCGCCCCACATGCTCCTACAGGAAGGGCATGTTCCAGGTTCCCTCTTTACTACCTTGTGGGACCTATGAAGTGTGTGTTTTTGGTGGCTGTCCCCATGCTCTGGAATGATCTCCCCCCCATGCCCCCAAATACATGGTAGGCCCACTCTGCTCACCTTTAGGAGAGCAGTTAAGACCTGGCATTTCCCCCCAGCCTTTGAGTCTAGTTGAGTGGAGTTCCCTTTTGGTTGTTTAATGATCATGTTCATTTGCCATTTTATATTTCATACATTGGGTAGATGTTTTAATGTTTATGTTTCTCTTGGTTTATTGTTTGTTTTCTGTTGTACGCCGCTCAGAGTCACTGTTCTCCTTCCTCGCCTCAGAACTAGCATTATGTCCTGCTTTCGGACATAAGAAGGGATGATCTGCCGCACTTTGTTACCCCGTGGCAAATGGCTTCGCCCCAACCGCTCCCCTCCAGCGCTGCCCCACGGCCACTTGGGCTGAACTCTCTCTCAGAAGGAACCTTCTCAGGGCTGCTTGAACTGTTTTCCCCAAGGGGAAGCAGTTCGCATTACCTGCTAGACTTTTAAGTGACCTACGTGTATGGTGTGAATACTGCGTCTTATTCATGTTTGTGGCTACACTTTGCTTTTGTTTATTACTTATACAGTAATACCTCGGTTCACGAACGCTTCTGTTCACGACCAATTCAGGTCACGAACAGCACCGTTCGCAAAATTTTGCTTCCGTTCGCGAACTCTGCGTCGGCTGATGAACACGACCCATGGCCATTTTCCCTGCTGTGACACGTGGTCATGGCTTCCTGTAGGCGAGATCGTGGTCACAGACAGACACTGGCTGTGAAGATTTTTGGTGTGCTTTTTAGCATGGCTCCAAAGAAAGTGCAGAGCAAGCATGGTGGTAAAAAGGTTTTGAAGAAAATAACCATTGAATTGAAGAAGGAAATGGAGAAAAGCATGAGCGTGGTATTTGTGTGACTCATCTGGCCTCGGAGTACAAGATGGCAAAGTCGACAATCTCTACTATTTTGAAGAATAAAGATGCCATCAAAGGAGCTGATGTGGCAAAAGGAGTAACGACGTTAACCAAGCAGAGGACACAAGTGCTGGAAGAGGTGGAAAAACTTTTGTTAGTGTGGTTGAATGAACTGGCAGGTGATAGCGTTAGTGAGGCTATGATCTGTGAAAAAGCCAGGAAGCTGCACAGTGATTTACTGCAAAAAAAACCCCTCTACAAGCGCAGCAAGTGAAGAATTTAAAGCCAGCAGAGGCTGGTTTGATAAATTCCGCAAGAGAAGTGGCATCCACAGTGTGGCAAGATATGGTGAGGCTTCCGGTTCTGACAAGGCCGCTGCAGAAGGCTACAGGAAAGAATTCGCGGAATTCATGGAGGCGGAAGGATACGTCGCTCAGCAGGTGTTCAACTGCGATGAAACAGGGCTCTTCTGGAAGAAGATGCCAAAGAGAACCTATATCACACAGGAGGAAA